AAACCAACCAACGGTATGTTCCTTTGACTAAACCTCCACTTATTTAATTGACAATGAATTCCATTTATTCAATTAACTTTCATCAGTAGATAATTCCTTTATTAAACTTGAAACTGAACCCAACCCGCTGCTAGGAAGCGACGACAGGGCTCATGTGAGGTTTGTCCAAGGTAAAAATTTATAAATAAGGTGTATTCTTTACACCAATTCAGGTTTATAGTTTGAAAATTCAAAAATCAGGTTTTTTTATTTTTTTTTATGAAATAATAAATTATTAAATCAATTTATTATTTAATATTTTATTCTAATATAATATAATTAACTCATCCCACATACACCACCCGTACCGCTCCGGTGACTATTCCGGCAACCATTTCGACCATCACTCTTCTCCGGCGACTGTTTCGATTCTGACAATTATTTCGGCGACTATTCTGGTGACCATTCTGGCCACAGATTTATAATTTACGGCCACAGTTCAACCTAATTGGTCACAGATTTTTTTACGATCATAGATTATATCATTTTTAGGTTACAAATTTCAAAATTAGTTGGTCATAGATTACATTTTTAGTCACATATTACAGAATTTTAAAGTCACAATTAATTCATTGGTCACATATCAAAATTTATATGTCACACGGTCACATATTTCAAAATTAGTTGGTTACAGATTTTTTCACGATCAAAGATTATATAATTTTTAGTCACAGATAACAAAATGGTTGGTCACGGATTATATTTTTAGTCATAGATTATCGAATTTTTAGTCACCACCACCACTTCCGACCACCCTTACCTTGGCACCACCACAACAGCACCAATGCCACACCACCAATGAAAGTCGCCACTCCACTATCGACATCAACTGAACTCCACATAATCTCACCACCCAACACCACCATCTCCAACTCAAACACCTGCACCGCATCACTACCTTAACAACACCACCACTACCACTTGCAAAAACTATCCAACAAACCTCATCCCAAATCACAGCACAACCACTGCAGTCGCACTAGCACCGCCGTCAACACCACCTCAAAAACACCACCACTACCACCTGCAAAAACCATCCATAAAACCTATCCCAAGTCACTGCACAACCATCGGCACCACACAGTCACCCCACAACCGTACCAACACCACCCACGTATACACAACACAGAGAAGTCGTTCAAAAGAAAACTTAGCCACCTCCACTATCTATAACCATCACCACTACCCACATCACACCCACACAATCAGCTTCCACACACATAAATTACACAAATCAGTGTACATATCGCTTCTGCTTCATCGAGCGCAGTCATTTCTTCGCCTCAACTCGCAGTGATTCGCTTTCCTGGCCGGCTATTCGAGCTCCTTCTAGGGTGAAATGGATAAGATCGGCAACCTCAACCACCTAAATACCGTCTTTGTCATCATCGGATTCCTGGGGCGGGACACCAACAAGATCCGATCTGATGGTGCATCGCCTGTAGCAAATCTGCAGCAGTGGTGTCTCGCCGGCGAGGCTGCGGTGACTGCTGCAATCGAACCGACGGTAGAGAGAGTAGAAAAAGGGATAGCAGAGAGTGGAGAGAAGGGAAAGGGAGAGAGAAATGGCGAGGAGAGGAAGAGGAGGGGAGGCGAGACAAAGAGAAAGAGGGGAGAGGAGGAGCACGAGAGAGAGATAGGTGAGGAAATTGAGAGTGAGTGATAAATTAGGGTTAGGGTTTTAATATATAGTACCTGATTTTTGAAGAAATAAATTTTGGACACGACTTTTAAAAAGTTATCTTTAAACCCTTGATTTTCTGTAATTTCCCTTTGTCCAAACCATTGACATTATTGAACCTAGAAAACCCAAGAAAATACCAAAGCAAAGAACGCAAAGTTTTTATCTAGTTTCGTTCTTCGGCCAGTTTGATGTAAGATTCTTTTGAGAATATATTTTATGAAAAATCATATTTTTGAAGAAATAGTGATTAAAAAGTAGGAAAAATTATGGATTTATTTGTAAAATTATTTTATTGTGAGAATGTTTGATAGAAAATTAATTTGGAGAAAAATGAGTTTTAAAAAATGTATACCATATAAAAAATTAAAAGTCTCGCAACCGAGTTGAGATCTACTTTGATGGAGTGTCATATTAGGCTATGTTTGATAGCCAACATTTTCCAAGGAAAATGGAAAAAAAAAAAAATTTCCATCCTTAAGCCATGTTTAATGGCTTAAATTTTGCCTAGAAAAAGTTTTCCCTCCATCCACCCCAGGAGCCTATTTTCCTTAATTTTAGGGAATTCATTTTCTCATCATTTTGGTGGGAAAAGGAAATTCCAGGTTTTTGTCAATTATATATATATATATATATGTGTGTGTGTGTGTGTGTGTGTACACACACACTTCAAAATCTGAAATGTTCTGAGAGCATCTCTAACACTCTCACTATTTTNTAAAAAATAAAAAATCACTTTAATGGATAATTTTCATGTAAAACGAAATCAAACGAACACTAAACTTTGATAAAAAAAAAGTTTTCGAGCAAATTTTTTTTTTTACTTTTTGGCAATGGTAATGAATTTCATAACCAATTGTAAAAAAATATTTACTTTAATGGACAATTTTTATGTAAAATAAAGTCAAACGTGAACAAAAAAATCCAAAATTTCAAAATTTTTCCGAGTGGAAAATTATACCAATCAAACACACTTAATTAACAATTTTCTGAAAAACAACTTCTAGACAATTACTTTCCCTGGAATTCATTTTCTTTCCACCCATATTCCATCATTGCAATCAAACGGACCTTAGATCTTCACTCGATTTCAAGGTTTAGAGTACAAATTGATGATTACAACATTTAAGCATAGTGTGAGATCACTTTTAAAGCCCCAAATTTTCATTGTCAAACAATAAAAATTATTTAGGTATTTGGTAAATAGAGTGACATATATATTAAATTTCAATTTTTAATTGTGTCAAATATTTAAATATTGATGGAGCAATGGTAAATATATGCATATTGGACTCATTGGATAGATCTTAATTAATCATGCATATTAGGCTCGAGAAAAAGTTAATTTGAATTAGCGAAACCCAAGATATAAAGATATTGTCTGAATTGTATTTTAATTGAATTATTTAATGAGTTTAGAAACTTTAATGACTGATACGTGTTAAAGCAAATTGTGGATAATTAGTAATTGATTTTATCAAATATTTAAGAAAATATAAAAAAAAAAATTAAAGGAGAGAGAAAGTTAAGAAAAGCCACCTGATGTGAATTATGGTAGAATTATTGTAGAATGAGTCAAATGGTCATCCTCATATTTTGGTAAAAATCTTACCAGCATGCCAAGTGTCTCACTGAGTGGTTGGTTGAGATATCTCATTTCAGATGGATAGAGACGTGTTCTAGAGTCATGCCAATCTCTACAAGAAGTTTAATACTTTTATAGAGTTCTATTATAACTTTTCTACACACACACACAAAAAAAAAGTGACAGTGTGGAATGTAATTTTGTGATTTTATCTTTCAAATAATTTGATCTAACAAGGTAAGATAACGAGGTGCAGTTTATTTTATCACGTTTAAATTATTATTTTTTTCATGTTGATGAATTATTATGCTCGTGAAAGTTAAAGTTATGATATGAATGATATGGCCATTCCGGTACCAATGATATGATATAATATGAACTCTTACCTATTTTTAAAGATATGATGACGGTATGATAATTTTTGATACATGTTCCAAATTTTTTTTATTCGGGATTGAACCGTTATTTTATATCCTACTGAGTATTCCTATGTATTCACCATTTTCCCTACTCTTCACAGGTTAGATCGGGTAGTTGGTCAGTGGCGATAAGGTGCAGTCGTGATGCCGAGATTTTTGGGACTAAAGAGAAATAATTCGGTGTAATATGACAATACCTATTTATTTTCAGCATTAACATTTGTTTTATTATTGTGGATATTTTATTTAGGACTTGAACATGTTTTATTTTACATCAGTGGAGCCAACATATAATTTATCATCTATTATATACAATAAAATAGAATTGTAGTTTAATAACCCTTTTATTGTAGTTGTAGTTACTGTTCATGGAATGATTTATCAAATAAAGTCAAGGGATAATTACTATGCATATGCCAACATTATGTCATAAATTTTTAAACTGTAGATTTATGCTAATTGATCTATCCAAACATATATGATTGTTATGGTCGTTCATTTTATTTGAAATTTGGGACATATTTATTTGACTTGAAATTTTTTATTTGTGTAGGATATTTTGTGTTTTCTCTACTACTTAAGTTTTCTGCATAAATAATTACGATATATTGGAGACTAAACATAGAACGACTTTGGTAATTGATTTATAGTTTCTATGCATGTCTAAGAAATGCAATCTGCCAGAATGATATAAAGTTGGGTGAATTTTGAGGCCATGTCCAACTCACTATCATGATTTTGTAAAGATCTTAATAAATTAATATGCTACTTGTCATTTAATTTTGCACATGTTAATTTGGTGTTTTAACCAAACAGTGAGTGTTTTGGCAGATTAGTTAGGGTCTCCATGCATATTCAATTTAAAGGATTAGTTATTATAATTGTAAAAGAAAATTTTGGTAGTGATTTCAGATTTTAAAAAAATAAATAAAATTGGGTCGTTACACAAAATGTTAAAAAAAAGGGTGGGGGGGGGGGGGGGGGGGGCTGCTTAGATTTGCAATGGTAGGAAAATTTATTAAAATGAGCTAAAAAATACGGATACGAATTATATGTTTATATTCTAGAGAGTTTGACTATTAGGCATGGAAAATACATAATAATTTAAGGGAAGTGTGTGAGGGAAATAAAAATTTATGGTTCGTGGGAAGACAACGTGTTTGCTTATTTTTTATTTAATTATATGCAATAGGATAGTTTGCACTTCAATTTCTCCCCATAAAGAAACTCAGATCAGATCCAATTTAAATACTCGAGCACGTCTCGAGTTTGCAGAATGAACACTGTTCAAGATCCAGATATCGTTGCCTTGTACAGAAAAATACACGAAAATCCAAAATACTTGGATGTCCCCAATGAGATGACTTTTGTGGAGTCACCTCTTCATACTGCTGCTTCAGAAGGCCGTACCGGCCTTGCCCTTGAAATCTTGAGGCTAAAGCCTTCGCTGGGGAAGAAATTGAACCTTGATGGTCTTAGTCCACTGCACCTGGCTTTGGGTAATGGACACACCAACACTGTGAAACGACTCGTCAAGCATGATCCGGACCTCATTCGTGTCCCAGGGAGGGAAGGGATCACTCTTTTGCATTACACGGTGGAAAAAGAGGAAATTGATCTTTTGATTTATTTTCTTCTCTTATGTCCACTCTCAATATTTGACTTGACTGTTCGAGATGAGACTGTTGTGCATATTGCTGTAAGAAACGAAAACTTAAGAGCTTTTAAGGTTTTGTTTGGTTGGGCCAGGAAGACCAATAATACGACGGTGTTTCGCTGGAGAAACGGTGAAGGCAATAACTTGATGCATCTTGCAGCATTAACAAACCAACCAACGGTATGTTCCTTTGACTAGACCTCCATTTATTTAATTGACAACGAATTCCATTTATTCAATTAACTTTCATCGGCAAATACATCCTTTATTAAACTTGAAGATAATTTTAGTTGTCCTGAGTGTTGTAGTCCACGGTATTTTAATCACAATTTTTACAGAAATTGTGATTAAAAAGTAAAAAAATAATGGATTCATGTGCAAAATTATTTTATTGTGAGAATGTTTGATAGAAAATTAATTTGGAGAAAAATGAGTTTCAAAATATATGTACCATATAAAAAATTAAAAGCCCCACAATAGAGTTGAGATCTACTTTGATGGTGTCTCATATACTAGATCTTCACTCGATTTCAAGGTTTAGAGTACAAATGGATGATTACAACATTTAAGCATAGTGTGAGATCACTTTTAAAGCCCCAAATTTTCATTGTCAAACAGTCAAAATTATTTAGGTATTTGGTAAACTTGGTATAATTCTAATTTTGAAAGAATAATGACTGCAGATTTGAGAAGTTTATCCAATCACCCATCATTAAACTACTAATTTTGACCCCTTGTGAATAAAATTGGTACTTGTTGGCAGGAAAAATTGAATTAAACTTGATAAAACAATTACAATCAAAGTGATCAAAGTCCTAATCCACCTTTCACACCTACAAGTTTGACTCGAAATATCAAAATTGTCTTGGGGTCAAACTAAAACTTGAAGAGGATTGTGATCATGATCAAAACTTCATTCACTTAATAGTTGATACTCTTTCAAATTGATACATCATGCAGAAAGCTTATCTATAAATTCACTTAGTTAAAAATACCAGAAAATTAATAAAAATCAATAAAATAAAATGGTTATCATTTTTCTTTAAACCAGGTACTGTTTAGTAAACCCTTTTTTTGTTCAGTTATAATTTTATAAAACTTCTTGTTTATGGTTTCAGGTTTTGAAGTCATTAATCAAGTATGTGCATGTGAATAAGAAGAACTTAGGAGGTAAGACAGCGCTGGATATCCTAAAACCTGAACATGTAGAAGCAAGGAAAATTTTAATAAGCGCAGGAGCTAAACAAGGTTCATCACTTGTCCACGATGCGACCAGTTGTGAAAATTATTTGAAGTCAGTTGGAACGACGGAAGATTTTTTTATCAAATTTGGTGCTTACATGGAGTTCGGTTTGCCGGGGAATATGCGAAACGCTATCCTAGTAGTTGTTGTGCTTGCTGCAACTGCTGCGTTTCAAGACCTGATCACTACCCCTATTTCAACCAATTCAACTAGCACCAAATTAAACAAAAAAAACCTAAGGCTGAACGAATTAGATATGATTTACAACTCAATCGCCTTTGGTCTTGCAATGGGAACGTGTGGAATACTTGTACTTGGTCTACTCCAAAAGTTATACTTGGTAATTCTTGTTCTATTTTACGTAAGTTATGCGGCATTGTCATATGGAATATACCCAGGTCAATATTTCTTTTTATTAATTGCGTCATTAATCTCACTGCCTATCTTGATGATACTTCCCTGGAAGATCATACTAATGAAAGGGCAAATAAGAGGTGATATCTACCACGAATACAACCTTGATGAGGTGAAATATCTCATATTTGGTAGCACATTTATGAATCAAGGACCCATAGTGACTTGGATGGCTGAAAGGAAAACATCACGATGAAGGTACTGCATCAAATGTTCTGTCATGCCTCACAAACAATATTGCAAAAAGCACATGTAAAGTTTAGCTTAAAGATGGTAGCATGCATGTAAAGTCATCTTAATATGAATTGCATTTTTTTTGTAAGGATCTGTAGTCGTTGGCAAAGAAAAAATAAAATTGTCTCTTATTAGATTACTAGTTATGGTCATGAAATGCACGGACTTTGTTATTTTGAAGGTAATATTAGCGTTGAATATGAAGGATTAAAGGGAGATATAAGCAAGGTTAGCAAAATGAGCTTAATTGAATAAAAAACATTTACATATGATTTCACCCATACAATACAATTATATAACATTGAAAGAGTGCGAAGAAATTTAAAAAAACTTAAACGAGATCCATAAAGAATTTATCTTTCGAAATTATTATGTAAAAAATAAAACAAAGAATTATTATACATCCAAAGAAGTATGTAAAGAATAATTCTTCATCTTTACTATCATCCTCTGTTGCATTTATTTGTTCATCTAATGTTATCACATTTTTAATAGTATGATTCAGTGCACCACCACCCATCACTTTGTCGTGCTCGCCCTAATCTGTCAAGATGTTGCATAATCATAAAATCATCTATCCAATCAATAAAAGCATATTAAAGACAACACAAAAGTGAATATTCGTGATAAAAGACTACCTTAGTCTTTTATCAGAGTTAATGCTTTCAGATCACAATTATGAAGATAATCCATTCGTGAAAACAAACGTTGGGCATTGCTCATGCTTGTATTGGTTAAAAGCAAATCAAGATATAAACAAGTATCTAGGAAAGTATCAAGCAGCTGTTTTTTTTTCTTTTTCTTTCTTGCAATGAATTAGAGGTGAAAAATTAATCTTTGAAGATTAGAGTTGAAAAATTAATCATTAGCATAAAAAATATGGAATAAATCAGCTCAAAAAGGGGTTGGAAAAGTGCTAAAGAAAGCTGAAAAAATGTAAGAAAGTGGGTGTAATGCAAATACGGTAAGAGTATTGCATGTACGGTAAGTTGAGTGAATATACGGTGTGTGCCCTGTTTCCCTTAAAAAATCAGTAAGACCCTTGCAAAACCGGTAAGAGAATAGCATATACGGTATGTGAAGTGCAAATACGGTGATTAAGTTGCATATACGGTAAGTTCTCAAAAACCCAGTAAAATCATTTTTTTTTTTTGAAAATACGGTAAGGAGAGTAAAATCCGATAATGTCAAACATGATTTGCCTCATGTAAAACCAGTATGTTTGATCAAATCCAGAAGCTCAATTCATTTTTTTAAAATAAGAAGTGAAAAATCCGATATGCATTGAGTAAATCCGGTAAGTTCATTTGCTGTGGAAAAATTGTAAAAATCGGTATACATGTATTAAATCTGGTAAGACGTGCAAAAGCAGTAACTTCATTGAATATTCGATAAGTTGAATTTATTATTAACGTTATTATATTATTGTTGTTGTTTTCATTGTGAATATTATGAACTTTAAATTTTGTTGACAAATGTATAGTGATTATTAATTACTAAGAAAAAATATATTTTTTTTTAATTGTAAATGTCAAAAAAAAAATCTGATTTTCAATTTATATATGAAGGTTTATACTGAAATTATATATAAACTAAGAAGGAAAAAGAATTGATATATAAAATAGTACTGAAGTTAAAAATAAGTATGATGAATGAATTAACCTGAATTTATAGTACTTAATAAATCATGGCTAAGTGTTTTTTTTTTTTGGTTCAAAATATTGTGAAGTTGAAAATGTATTGGATATGCTTAATTTTATTGTGTTTTCAGTGAGGATAATGTTGTTAAGATTGTGTTTTTTTTTTTAGTTACATTNTTTATTAAGTATTATAAATTCAGGTTAATTCATTTATCACACTTATTTTTAAATTCAGTACTATTTTATATATCAATTCTTTTTCTTTCTTAGTTTATATATAACTTCAGTATAAATCTTCACATATAAATTGAAATATTACTCCATTAACTTATAAAGTCTTTGTTTTAACATCAAGTACTACTACACTAAATTATAGAGTATTGACTATAACAAATTTACCTTAATTCAATAAATAATACTAACTGTTATTAGAAACATATTATGTTCAAAGTTAACCCATATATTTCATTTAGAAAATCATAGTAACAGTTCAGATTGAATTATCAGTAATCAGCTTTATCTTACTAATCTCCCTATGACTAAAAAAATAATAAAAAAACAAACACGTCAACAAACAAACCAAAAATTTTAATCTTCCACACACAATCATTCACGAAAATATCAATTGGATTACGGAGAAGATATTTTCTGAAAAATCAAGGAAGAACAAAAACATAAAACTAAACAAAACCGAAAAAAATCGAAACTACTTACCGATTTGATAAGTTCATTTGCTTTGGAACAAAACTTCATTGAAAATTCGATAAGTTGAAAAAAAAAATTATTTCTTATTTTTTTTCACTTGTCTTTCACAGTCAATCCAGTTAATAATTGTGGGTAAGTAAAAACTCTATATTACCCTTTTGTTTTGATAAGATGAGGATGAAAACAGTTTCACAGACGAATAGTAAATAATGGGGATAAAATGGGAAGACAAAATGCTTCAGAAATGAATAGTGAAATGCGGATTGACTCTTTTATATTAGTAGGGAATAATATATGAGTTTTTTCACTTCAGGTACGTATGAGAGAACCTGGCCGGCTGGTCCCTGGCATAATATTTTTTTTTCTTTTAATAAAAAAATACAACTAGAAAAATGGTGATACTAAGATACTAATGATTTCCATTTTTGCTCAATGGGCAGTGTCTGGCTGTTTTAATTTTCACGTGTTGTTTGAGGAAGTTTTCAACTTTCGAATGAGCTGTAATCTTTTAGCGTCCGTTTAAGCCTCCATTTGCAAAAAATTTATAAAAATGATCCATTAGAATGTGTAATTGAAAATGAAATTTGAACAATTTATAAATGATTTATGAATTGGGAAAAGTTCATAGATCAGGTATTAACTTTGACATTTGTAAAAATCAGGTGCTAAAAATTTAAAATTGCAAATAACAGGTTTTTACTTTTTATTAATTAATTAAATGTTTAATTGTTCAATTTGGTCACAGATATCTTATTAATTAGTTAAAAATTAATTTCAAATCACAGCTTATCAAAAAAGGAAAATTTATAGGTCACAATTTTTTTATCGATCACAGATTATTTTATTGGTCACAGATCAAAAAAATTATATGTCACAGGTCACGTATTTTCAAATTTGTTGGTCACAGATTCTTTTTTTAGTTACCAATTATCAATTATAAAGTCACAGTTCAATAGTTAGGTCACAGACACCAAAAAGAACTACCACCGCCGTTGACCACGCCGCAACAATAACAAAAAACGATCACCATCACCACCACACGACCGTCACCACAGATCCACCACCACCGCCCAAAACATACCACCACAGATCCACCACCCCCACAACCACACATCCCCAGATCTGCGACATTTCCCAAAATCAGACTCTATCTTCGCGACGGTTGCCACCATATCCACTGCCCTACCACAAACAGTGGGTCACATACATCGGCACCATCGACACCACCTCCACCCCGTCGTCACCACCAGATCAATCGCCCACCCCATCACCGCCGACAACACAGATCTCCACACCACAACCACCACACAACAAAAAAACCCCAACCTGCCACCAGATCGCAATAATGGAGAGAATGCAAAATACAACAAGAGAGAGAGAGAGACAGCTTCAAGCACCATCACAGCCCATCAAAAATCCCAAAAGCTCTGCTACACCATCCCCATCAGAAATACCCAACTTCGCGGGTAGCAGCATCGTAGTGATGTCTTCCGGTGGCGCCTTCTCGTAGCGACTGTGTTGTCTTCGGTGGCGCCTTCTCATGGCGACGAGCTTCGTCGCGAACTGCAGCGGATCACAAGGAGGAGAGAGATGAGAGAAAGAGAGAGGAAGAAGAGTGAATTAGGGGAAATAGGTTTTAATTTTATTATATTTATTAAAATATAAAATTTTATAATTAATATTTAATTAAATATGAAATATCTGATTTTTGAAAAGTTAAACTTGTGATCTGATTTTTG